ACAGAATTTCCGTTCCATATGTGCAGATCTGCATGACAATGTAAAACTATTTACTATGATGTCAACAGACGAAGATATTAAAAGAATTGCAAAGCCATCACCAGAAGCCAAGTATGTTTCATATGAAGTCAAACGGCTAGTCCATTTAGATAGCAGCATAAATCGAATCACCAGTTCTGATGAGCTAGCAACACTTACTGAAGCTGAAAMATCACTCTATTCATCAAATATCTTACCTCAAATTAAAGAGATTAAAAAGTCTGCCGACTCAATTAAAATGCAGCTGGAAAGCAATACATGTATGTATGATGATATTTTGCCACTTTACGCATCACTTTCTAGAGTGTGCCTAAAGTTTCTTGACGTGATGAATGATCTGGCATTGCCAATCATAAAACCAMGCTGGTTTGAGAACTCTGATGCTGGCCCTGGAGTGGGTGTCTCAAATTTTGAAGTTAAATTTAGAGATGCGGAGCTTTCTATGTTGTACGGTAGGGATTATTTATGCCGTGTTCATTCTGCAAGGGGTAATTCTGGTGACAATGAGGCTGAACGAACAAACAGTGCAGTGGRTGATAGTATTGTTGATGGAGCAACATTACAATGGAATAAATTTCCAAAATTCTACAACATGAGTGATGAAGAAATTTCTCAACTGACTGTTCATGACTATGACATTCATGAGCAAGAGAGAATGGAAAACAATGCGTGGTGGGTTTCAAAAGAACTTGCCTACCGTATAGATGGGGCACCGGTGTTCAATGAATACATCYACTCTTTTGTAACTGTAAAGCCTGAAGAGGCCTTTTTCTTCAATAGAGAATATATTACTCAATTTAACAAGTCAAGTGGTGAAACTCAAGCAGAAATCCCAGGATATCATTRTTGTGTCAAGATTATGAAGTTCATAAACGACCACTATCACGTTGGAGAGCTGTATATGGAGTTTATAAAGGACGGATGTAAAGAGAAGGATGAAAGTAAACATTGTGATTGGTGCAAGGAAACTGGATGGCGAGGTCCAATGATGTCAAGAGTCCCTGAACCTTGTCCTGACAAGGATAACCAAGGCCATTACATGGATGTTTTTAAGTCTTCAAATAAGACTACCAAAGGTGAAATAAGGCCTATWGACGAATTTGCCCCTCGAGCAAATTTGAAGAAGTTGTTCGCAGAAGGAAAAATAGCAAGTTATGAYGACAAAGCAATCGATGATTTCACTAAAAAATACATTGTATCTAAAGAACATGCCAAAGAATATGTCAAACATTTAGAAGAGCTTAACACAGGTGCACTCATTCGTGCCAGAGAGAAAGAAAGAAAGAAACTATTAAAGCAGGCAAAGACATATTCAGATTACAACTGGAAGGACTTAAGTGATAAAGGAAAGCTTATGTCTCTGACCAAACTAGAACTGAAACGTTACCTCACACACTACAAACTTTCATCACAGGGTAAGAAAGTTGACTGGGCAAAGAGAATCGAAAGTCACCTTGTTATATCAAGTACTTCTTGCCCTGCAAACACAACAAATGTTAATGCGTGCACTCCAAACACAGACAATACCAGTGCTATAGTACCAAGTGACACTGATGATTATTCTGCTGATGAATACTGCAGCTCCGAGGACGAAGTACTAAAATATGGGCAAGACACAGATGATGAAGATGATGAAGTTTATTTTATACCACAAAGAATCACAACTAGATCAGGCCGATCTGNAACTTAAGTATAGCTTATATGTTGGAACGATTTGGGTATACATGTAGTTGCATCAAAGATGGCGGAGCCATTGAGATTGATAAATAAGTTCACTTATAAGCGGTTACCTGCCAGATGAAATTGTTTCTTGATATTAAACTGTACTTTTATACGATAACCCAATTGAAAGCCCTGCTCCATGTTTTAAACAAGAATTAAATCCCATAAACAAAAAAATCTCCACTGAGACGCTCAAGCCGCCATTATGCGAGTACTCGACACAGGAATACTCGATATTGGTAACACAGGAAACCCAAAGTCGACCTACTAACAACAATTTCCTTATGTTGAAATTTCAAAAATGTCAGACTTATGATAATAACTTGGATAAAAACGTTGATAATAATAATTTATTTTGGAGGCTGCCTATTAGCATTTTAGACAACAATTTGGCAGTCTATTGTTRAAATTTCTTTCTATCAATGCAGTATGTATTATTGTTRCTAATTTTTGYTTGTTGTTGTTGTTTGATTTTTTGGGGGGTAACTTTTTGATGCCAATGATACCTGTGATACTTAATTCATCCTAAAATGCTTTTCAGGATAAATGGTACAATTATAAATCTATATGGCAAAATACTAAAGATACCAGAGTGGTTTTCCATCAACCATGCAAAAATRATAAGACTTTAATAGTTGCAGGCAGTGGACTTTAAATTTGTTTGTTTTCTTTTGTTCTTTATCAAATAGTACTAACAAGTTGGTCTATTCCTTTGCATGGTTGACAGAAAACTACTCTAGTATCTTTAGTATTTAAAAAAATACTAATGAAAACTATATAAAACTAAAAAATACTGTTTTATTAA